GGAAGAGACACGGTATGAGTGCACATGGGAGGGGGGCAGAAGAAAGTGGAGGGGGATGGAAACACAAACGTCAAGAGTAAACATGGAGGGGAGGAGGGTGGGGTTTGGGGATGGGGAGGTGCGGGGAACACACACGGCATCAGACTCTTCGCTACCTCAGAATTACCAAGTTTTATCTGACATTTTGGGACGTTTTGAGTTACTAAGACCATAAGGTCAGAAAACAAATGTTCTATCTGCTCTATCCAAAACGTAAGATTATTAGGAGTCGTTATCAAGATATCAAAGAATTGTATTCGAAAAAGTTTGACTTGATGTGAAACTCAAAATCTTTGACGTCGAATATCTCAAAATTAGGTGCTGAGCCGATAGAACTTTGTAATTCTTAGGTAGCGTATTACAGAAGGGTATGGGATTTGGGGCGGGGAAGGGGTTCATGGAGGGTTGGGGGAAAGGAGCATGGCACTGTCTCTTTTATAGGGATAAAATTACATGAAGGTGCTAACTTTTAGATATAGTTTGGGTCTTTGTAGTTGTGGGTCACAGAAAAAGTTATTTCTCGCCTTAGCACGATACTGGGAAGTAACCTAACTCACACATAACCAAAGAGGTTCTTTTGAGTACTAGAGCGCGTGGCAGTGAAGTCCCCTTCGTTAACGAACGGGGGTAGTGTGTGCCCACTCTGGGACGCTCAACTTCAAGGGCAAGACAATATGCGCAGTAGTTCAACAGATGAGTGTGCACTTTTCAAGACGCGCGTGGAAGCGTCCCGGTGGTCTTAGGGGAAAGCTTGCACTGAGATATGGGGCAAGGAGGTGTTTGATATACATGTGGGGAGCGGGGTGGGGGCTCAGATTGCTCACGTAAGTGGAGGCATGCCGGCCATGCTGACGAACGTAAAAAGGCCCCCATATCTGACACATGTCATTTTGACGTCACTTCTGCGAGGTCTAGTATTATATTATATAACCTCTTTGCACACAACTCCCATCTACAAAACCTCGGCAGGCAGTGACCCGTCTGGTGTCTCGGGTGCAGCGATTAAGCACATTGCTGTCACACATCGAAGACTCGAGTCGATTACCTTTGTAAGAGAATTTCTATCGGGTATCTCGGTCTTTCTGATGGGATGTTGTACCCTTCTCAGCCCGTTTTGACCCTGCAGGTCATGGTCGAAACCTTCCTCTTAAATGATCTAAATTAATGGTGTCGATGGGAGCGTAAAACACATACTTTTTTTTTTTAAAGTGAGCCAAGGCAAAAGAGAACAGTCCAGAGAACTTGTTCCACGGTTGTGCACATTTGGTTACGATAAGCTCCCAAATGTTTAATGTCTAGCCTTCCCGTTTGGGAAACTGGACCCCGAGATATGTCTCCCACCTGTTGTAACGACTTGGCTGTTACTTTATATATCTCAAATATTTTATATATCCCACAGAATGTGGCGCATCCTACCTGTTTAAGTAATCCAACTCGAAGTTACACAACTTACATATTATATAGTCTCTCTGACATCACGTGATGTACCCGGCCTGTTTAGGTGATCCAACACGACGGTACACAATATTACAAATTATTTTTTATTATGTAGTTAATCTGACATCACGTGACATATCCCACCTGCTTTGGCTGCTTCACAGGCCTGAGCTGTGACTTCCGCTTTGATGGTGTCCAGTGCGTCAAAGTTCTTTGCCTTGAAGACCATACTAGTGTCCGTGGCAATGACCTTCAGTTCGTCCATGCTGATGCCACTGCCGACTCCTACACTGACCACTGTGACGCCAGTGGCCTTGAGGGTCATGGCTTCCTTCACGGTCTTCTCCGCTGGGGGAACGGGGCGGGGG